AAAATAAACATGACCACCCACGCATAAAATATACGCTCCATTAGTGGGTGTGGGTGTGAGTGTGGGTGTGGGTGTGGGGTGCGGGAGGGTGTAGGTTTGTCTGGGTTTGGGGGTGGGGTGTGGGAGAGTGTAGGTGTGTCTGGGTTTGGGTGTGGGGTACGGATATTGGGAAAGAATATATCAACACACCCACACCCCACATCCATACCCACACTCACACCCATCCCACACCCCCATACCCACACCCATATCCAAAGCCACACTCACACCCACCCCACACACCCACACGCGCACCCGAATCTACACGGTATACTGCCGTACAGACTCCGTTTTGACTATTTTTACGGATCGTTTTCAGTTCTAAAACGATGCCGTTTTGATAGACCTGGGGAATGTAGAACTGAAATATGTTTTGTAATCTTATTAAGCCAATATCAAATATATAATATGAAAAATGTCTCGTAGACTATAGCTGTTTTGTATGATAATCGGTATTCAGAGTAATGATCTCTGCTATTTCTGTGTTTCGAAGAGAATGCTTAATATTCACTCATAATTTTTCATTTCTTCAAATTCTTTTTTTCTTAATTTAGCTTTCTTATTATTGGATTCATCGAATTAACTGACAAAGAAATCTTTATTTTGCATATTCATGATGTCAACAGCAGATGTGGTGTACCATCATATACGTATATATAAATCAACTCACCGATAATAACATTAATTATTTTTCAAAAGTAACATTTTATCAATTTTGAAATAAAAAAAAAACATGTTGACAATCGAACATCTGCTATTTTTCATTACGAAGTATCTGTTGTGAGGAGGGCAAGTAGGAGTCTAACAACTTCGAATTAAAACTTACATTCACTGTTTTCTTAAAAAATACACGCGAGTTCTACAAAGAAGTGTACAATAATTAAGGCAGTGAAAAACATGATTAGATATCATATACATTTGTAATTGATAGCAAATAAAGAACACGCAAATATAATAATTTATTTTTAGAATATGAATATAAAAAAATAGCTTCAATAAATACTAAGAAATTTTACATTGAATACAAATTTACACATCAGTTGTCCGTTGACGCACCCGTGAAAAATGATACCTACATATATATCAAAGAAATTAATCAATGTTTGAAAGTTTTTTTTTTTAGAGTTCATTCATCAAAATCTAATCCATTGATGCATGCAGTAATGATTATAAGATGATTTGAAATGTTTATATCTAAATTAGTTAATAACTTAAGATCAATAATAAATACTTAGTAAGATATGTGGCTATATATGGGCACCGAAAACTAGTTCCTTGTGTCAAGTAGTAACTACTCTTTAATAAGACTGTAAATCACATTCAATAATCGATAAAGCTTTGGTTATATGGACTATAGTTAAAATATGCTGTAGCCATACAAGTATTTATAGCATTTAGAAGTGTTACTGAGATAAAGAAAAAAATTAACCTTTCATCATTGTTGTTTCTCAATAGTTAGGATTTCAATGAACACGATCATCATCAAACAAAGATTCTCGTCGATACCTTTGTTGTGCTTTATTAATATTTTGATTCATTTCCTGAACTATTTCAATGTTTTTTTTTTTATAAAAAGAAATTATTAGTAAAAGAATAATTATATAATGATAAACATACATGATAATTCAGGATCTAAAAGATGTCGTTCAGGTTGTTTGATACGTTCATCATTGTTAGTTTTTGAATCACCCATCAAATGTTCAAGATAATCGCATATAATAGCTTGCTAAATGAAAATTTTTTTATATGAAATAAGTGCAAAAAGAAATCTAACTGTAACAAATTCATTATTACTTGATTACTAATTAGTCGCATATGGTTTTCAAGTCTTCGTATTCTATTTAAGATATTTTCCTGTAATGATGGACTAAAAATACACAAACAACATATTGTTTTATGCTTTCTTCATTTGATATAAAACATTTAACTTGTATATATGTAGCGAGAGGAATAACTAATGGAACTCTTTCTTTATAAATCGTTCTATACCAAAATTTCATAGATCGACTACAGACGGAGGATTTCCGAGAAACTAAACACAGTAATTTTCATGTCTCAGAAGGCTATTATGTCGAAGAGTATAAAACTTTGAATAAAAAGAAAGATTATCACATCCTCTACAACTTCCTCTTAAAAATTTATAAACATCACAAATCGAAATTGATTATCTACAAAAAACAACGGATTGTGCTGGTTTTGTAATGCTCATCACTTTTTTAAAGATAGAGTAGCGTGAAGTGAAGCAACATCTGTTTTAAAGATGATATTTTTTTTTAGCATTAATCTTCATACAGTCTTCGGAGACCTCAAAATGTCGTGTTATGGTTTTTCACGAATCTTCTTCTGATAATTCTATTTATAAGATTTCAATATACAATGTATTCGATAGGATATTCCACTAACTATTCCAGTCGCTATTTAGATTTCAGTACTTCGTATCACAGAAAAATGTTAACCTAATATTTTCCAAGGGCATTTTATGAAAGATCTCGATCTAGTGATATTTTATTTAAGCTTACTATTACTTACATTCGTTCTTCATCTAGATCAGGTTCATCAAGTAGTTTTCTTTCCTGTTTTAAATAATTATAATAAACTTCATCACCATATGCATCTTCAGTTGTTTCAATTATTGTTATACTTTTGTCATCGAGTGATAGTTCTAAAACAAATCAACTATTNAAGAAAGATTATCACATCCTCTACAACTTCCTCTTAAAAATTTATAAACATCACAAATCGAAATTGATTATCTACAAAAAACAAACGGATTGTGCTGACTTTGTAATGCTCATCGCTTTTTTAAAGATAGAGTAGTGTGAAGTGAAGCAACATCTCCTTTAAAGATGATATTTTTTTTTAGCATTAATCTTCATACAGTCTTCGGAGACCTGAAAATGTCGTGTATGGTTTTTCACGAATATTCTTCTGATAATTCTATTTATAAGATTTCAATATACAATGTATTCGATAGGATATTTCACTAACTATTCCAGTCGCTATTTAGATTTCAGTACTTCGTATCACAGAAAAAAGTTAACCTAATATTTTCCAAGGGCATTTTATGAAAGATCTCGATCTAGTGATATTTTATTTAAGCTTACTATCACTTACATTCGTTCTTCATCTAGATCAGGTTCATCAAGTAGTTTTCTTTCCTGTTTTAAATAATTATAATAAACTTCATCACCATATGCATCTTCAGTTGTTTCAATTATTGTTATACTTTTGTCATCGAGTGATAGTTCTAAAACAAATCAACTATTTTATTTAGACAAATAAAAGAAAAGAAAAAATATATTTTACTATATTTTGTTCGATTCATATGTTGTCGATATTTATTTTGAATGAATTCTGACTTACAACATTTAGCTAATATATACAAAGTTAATCGTCCACAATGAGACAAGAAAATGAAAGGTGGTGGCAACGATGGACGTGATAAATATTCACAAACTAATGAATATCGTTGAAATTTCCAAATACGATCTGCATTGCTTTGAAGACGATCGAAAGTATTACTAAATTAAAACAAAACAAGGCTTTAGTTAGATGCAAAAAAAAATGTTTGGCTACGTATAAACTATCTATAGTCCTTTTTTTTCATAACGATTTTAAGTAGATATTATAAATACCTGAACATAGCAATAAGTAGATTGACTAAGAGTATACTAACAATAGTCATATAACCAAGCAATAAGATAAATGCTGCATAACCATTTGCTTTAAAATTTTCTGTATAAAGAAAAATATTTTATTATTGAATTAGAAATTCTTTATTCTCTTTTCTTCTTTGTATTTTCATACCGTCGAATGTTTCTAAAGCTTCTATTTCACCAAATATATGCCAATAAGCAAGATTTATAATTTTACGTGGTAAATGCCAAGTAAATTCTTGAACACCAAATACTAAACTATAAAATGATACACCAAATGCCAGTATAAATACAAAGAACATTAACATGAAAAATTTCAAATCATGTACCTAACAAAAAAAAAAAACTAATACTATTGGTAAAATCTCTGTCAAAATAAAATATGAAACATGATAAAGCTACTATTGCTGTCAACGAAATGTAGATTGATATATTCTGATTATCTGAGAAGGAATTTCTTCATATTTCTTCTACTAAATTCTCTAGATATGCGATAACAAAATAGTTGTTGTTGATAGGCGACTTATCATAATATCTGATTAAAGCATGTTACAGCCTACGATTATCTTTGAAAAGTGATTATTGATGAATTATGCTAATATCTATAACTAGTATCTCATAAAATCAAGAAGATTACTTACCATTTCACCAATCATAACAAGTTTAGGCCCAAGTAGTTTAACAGCAGTAAACATCTCTAATGTACGTATAAACCAAATAGATAAATCAAATGACAAAACAATCCGTGCTGCACAAAAGCATTCTGATATTGGAACATATCGAAGTGTAATACCGACGAAAAAAAGAAGTATAGCCACAACATCTAATTGATTCCAATATGATTTAAAATAAACTGTAATAGCGTTTCGTGCTGATGGTGTTTGTATTGCAACTAACTAGAGAATGTGAACACAGTACATAGAGACCATAAGATAATAGATTACAAATATATTTATAGATATATTCAGATAAATTACCTGTCGAAGTTCTTCATGAACTAATGTAATAACCCATATGACAAGTGTAATTTCAGTAAAAGACGGATTTTCATGCGGTTGTAGTCCATATGCAACTGATTTACTAATATTATACAAACTTATAGTCGACGTGTAACTTGTAACTGATAGATTACTATCTTCATCATTGCAACAACCTTTTTTTGCTAAACTGCCAGACGGTATACATGAATTCATTGGAAGATCATAGAGTGGAAAAAAATCACATAAAATTACATAGGAGAATAGTAATAAAAAAATCAAATGAGAGTACTAAAATAGACGAAAAATAGAAAATGAAACATAGTTTTAGAAAAAAAATAGACTATTATCTAATTGAATATTTACTAAATGATAAAGATATTTAACATATGGAGCACGTATAAATGTAATAATGTGGCGAAAATATTCAGAAACTTTTCTTAATTTCCTAGAAGAATAAAATAAAACGAATTATTATTTTCTTTGTCCAATTTGAACAAATATATAAATAAATTATACGTAAAATAATCGTAATTAACAAAAAAAAAGCAATCGTTGTTAATTTAAGTCGCTATTAGTATTATTATTATTGTTATTAATCTGCAAATTGTTTTTTTTTTGCATTCGAAAATAGTCAATATCGACAAACCTCCTAGTGCTAGAATTTTGATCTAGTTTTCCTGATAACGAATTCTTTTGCTTTCTGTCTAATAGCCTACAACTTGGATAATACAAAAAGAAACAAAATAAGTGAATATAATGAACTCAAGTGAACATAGAGTTCACAGTTGATAGTTATGCGATAAACGAATTAATTTAGTGATCACTTCGTATTAGAGTCTTATGGTATGAATGTACATTTGGTTTTAGCTTCAACAAATATAAAGAATTATTTTTCATTACTCAAGAAGGAACATGCAGAATTATGGCATTTGATTTCTTAACAATAAACTACTCACTATGCTCTTGACAGATTTTTGAGTATAACATTCTGAAGGTGTTTTTTTCGATTTAGACTTTTAATAGGACTATTAATTAGAGAGAATTGTTTCTTGAATTTTATTTCGTTATCATGTGCTCCGACTAGAGTTCGGCGAGTCAGTCAAAAAAAAAACGACTCGCCATCGCCTCTCCTACCTACAGTAGTCACAATCTAGTTTATTTTCTTTAGATCAAATTAAGTACATTTAATATATATATAAGTGAAAAAAAATTCAAAATAAGATACAAATCAAGGGGGAAAAAGCGGATCCTCGGTTCCTTGAATCCTCTTGGATCCTCTGGATCCTTTTGGATCCTCTTGGATCCTCTTTGATCCTTTTGGATCCTCTTGGATCCTTTGAGATCCTCTTGGGATCCCAAAGGATCCAAAAGGATCCAGAGGATCCAAGAGGATCCAAGAGGATCCAAAAGGATCCAGAGGATCCAAGAGGATCCAAGGATC